TCCCCATAGGACCCTTAGCAAACCTGCCACAACCCAGGTATCACAGCTGCCACGGGACCTCTGTGATCCCTGCTTCCCCACATCAGGGTACACTGCTGTATTTCCATGGCCCCCAAATCTCTCGCTCTGTACTTAGTGATCTGTTTACTTCTGGATCTTCAACTTCACTCTAACCTCTTTGAGGGCAGAAGCAAACCATCCTGGTCTTTATAATCCCAGAGCTTGGAATATGAGTAGACTCTCAGTATATGACCTTATGGAAAAGGTGAGATTATTGTTGGCTGAAAGAGAGGTAGAGGTTTCTAAGACAGGGAAAGAAGGGAAGAAAGGAGGTCAAGAGGAGAAATGGGAGTGAAGAAAAGCAGGGTGGCTAAATGAGGGCAAGCCCCCAGGAGGCAACCACAGTTTGATTAACATAGAGAGTTCCCAATCAGGTGAACATAATCTTGAATTTCATTTAGGCAAAGATTAATGAAAGCAAGACAAGCAAAAGCTAACATTTATAAAGCACTTAATTTATAAATGTATGATGCTATAGAGCAGGTATTACTGTCCTCGTGATTCAAAAGATCAATTACGGGGCAAGCAGATTTCCCCAAAGTTTATTGCTAACTTTTAATAATCAGAACCCAGCATCTTTTGGCTTCCACACTCCATTATCTTCAACACTACAAAAATAATTCCTTGTATTTGATTAGTAATTAAAACTCAAAAATTTCCCTCCCACATAATAGCTCATGGTTAGAGAGTAAAAGAAAGGCATGTCCACATGGGTTATTTAGAAAGAAGAATCTAGCAACAGGAATCAGGAGATAATTGAAAGGAATGAAGCAAGATGCAGAAAGACCAGAGGAAGTCAGTACAATGGGCCACACATGAGACTAGCAGGGCCTGAGTCTGGAAGATGACTGTAGGAGTAGCAAGGCGAGGACAGAGCAAAGGAGAGATATTGCAACAGAAGAAATAAAAAGACTAGGTTAAGTGACTGACTAGACGAAAAGCAAGGAAGAGAAAACTGTCCAATAGAGTACATACTGAGGTTTTATACTCTTTCAACCAAGAGATGAAAAAAATATTCATAAACAGGGAGAAAAGGAAAAGTTAGTAAAGGAGCTAGAGAAGGCAAGAGGAGATTCTCAGAAACCAGCAGAGGCTAAAACAGCTCATTTCCCAAACCTGGCTACCAAATATGACTCCAGAAAACCCAGATACCATGTCTGAACTGACCAAATCCCAACTATTCCACATAATTTCAACAACAATTAAGAAAATGGGAAAGTGGATCCCAAAAGTACAAATCATCACCTATATCCAAGATCTCTGGATTTTTGATCCAATTCTAAAAGAAAAAACTCACAAATGAGTCACAGACATCGCTACACAGGCCCCTCCTGTAGGAACTCTTGCTAACTGCCTGCTGCTGGCATTTCATTCCCTCTTCGACAGACAGGGAGTGCTCTTATAATGTGCTTTCCCTTAGTCTTGCGGCTCATCCATTATGCACAGTGAATTGCTAGCCGATGTTTCTATTCCTCTTCTTTCCTGTGCACTTTTTTCCTTTTTAACTTTATTGAATTATAATATATACTCCATAATATTCATCCATTTTAACTATATGATTCAATGATTTCAGTAAATTTATAGAGTTGTGAAACCATCACCACATAATCCAGTTTCTATCCCCCCAATAAGATCTTTGATACCCTTACAGTAACCGTCACTCCCACTTCCAGCTCACGCAAACACCAATCTACTGTCTACCTCTATAGATTTGCCTTTTCTGGACATTTCACTTAAATGGTATGTGGTCTTTTCTATTGGCTTCTTTCCCTTACAAAATGTTTTTGAGGTATATGCATATTATAGCTGTTATTTCATTCCTTTTTATTGCTGAATAGCATCCTATTGTATGACTATAATGCATTTTGTGTATTCATCAGCTGACATTTGAGTTAATTCTACTTTTAGCTATTGTAAGTAATGCATATGAGTCTTTTCATAGGCATATGTTTTCATTTCTGTTGTGTAGGTACATATGAATGAAATTGTTTGGTCATATGACAAATTAAGGTTTAACTTTTTAAGAAACTAACAAACTGCTTTTAAAGTGATCATATCATGCCCTAGCCAGTTTGGCTCAGTGGTTAGAGTGTGAGCTCTCAGACTGAAGGGTCCCAGGTTTGATTCTGGCCAAGGGTACTACCTCGGTTGCAGGCTCGATCCCTGGCCCCGGCTGAGGCACCTGCGGGAGGCAACAATCAATATGTCTCTCTCACATCAATGTTTCTCTCTCTCTCTGTCTCTCACTCTCTCTCTCCCTCCCACTCTCTCTGAAAAAGCAATGGAAAAAATATCCTTGAGGATTAAAAAATGAAAATTAAAAAAAAATAATAATAAAGTGACTGTATCATTTTAAATTCCCACCAGCAATGTACAAGGTTCCTGTTTCTCCACATCCTTGGCAAAGCTTGTTATTGTCTAATTTATAGCCATTCCAGTAGGTATAAAGTAGTATCTAACTGTGGTTTTTATTTGAATCTCCCTAATGACTAATGATGTTGACCATCTTTTCATGTGTTTTTCAACGAAATGTCTATACAAATATTTAGACCATTTTTTAAATTGGGTTGTTTTCTTATTAGGAAGTTGTGAAAGTTCTTTGTATACATATTCTGAATATAAAATTCTTTATCAGAAATGTGATATGCAAATACTTTCTCCCAGTCTCTTTTCCATGTCCTCTGTAATGGTTAACAGTCTTCTCTCTCTCCTACTGCTGCTTGTGGCTCACCCACTTCTGGGCACCACTTCTCTTCCCCTGTACACAAGCCATGCTGGAATCCTTGCTGTCAAGTAAAGTGTAAGTGAAGAAAAGAGGAGGAGAACCAGATAACACGGGAACAGAGAAACAAAAAATTAAAGTTGTGTTTGTCAGTAAACACCTTGAATCTTTCCATAAGAAGCTGGAGTCAAGAAAAAAAAAATTTACTGAAATCCAAAGATCATGTCTATAGCATAGCACCCTGAATACGCCCAATCTCATTTGAAATCCAACGATCATGATGAGGAAGTTTAGAAAATTAATTGCCTCAATCGTCCTCGCAGTAAGCTTTAATAAACAAAAAGAAAATAGGGTTTCACCTCCTCGCCTTATTCAAAAAAACACTGGAACACCAGCCCCCAAAACGGAGGGACTCTAAGAGCCCTATTCATTATCTATGCTCTTTTATCCAAAAAATATCTTTTGAGTGCCCACTATGTACCACATACTATAGCCATTTAAAGTGAGGCCCAGATAGGATATCTAAACTCTCAAAATACATAATTTGGGGCATTTGTGGGGAGGTCACTGAAAATTTGGGAACAATTTTTTCCATTTACTACCAAATCCCAAATCTAACACCTAAATTTCATGGATCCTAGCGAACAGAAGAGAAAGACAAAGTAACAGGAAAAGTAATAAGGGCCTCCCCACTTGATGCCCAATTCTGAAATAAGCTTTTGCCTCCAAAGTGCTCTTTCCCTTCTGACTCAGCAAACGTAACTGCTCACACTGGCCAGAGATTGCTTTGTGCTTGCAGGGGATGAGGTGGTGTGGGGTCCCTTTGCCGCTGTGGTATATGAGCAACATCAGTGAGGGGAACATGGAAGTCTCACGTGGTTTCATCTCATGAGGAACAGTGTGACTTCCCCTACAGTAAACCCTTCAGCAGGCACATCTCCCTTTAGCAGCACACTTCCCAAGACCTCTCTTTGATCAATATCTGAGGGGAGCCAGAAAACAGGGAAGAGACAAGGCTGCTGAAGAAGTGGGGGAAATGATGTTTTACAGTATTCAGCATCATAGGCACATATGATCTCAGTTAATCTTGGTAAAAATGCTGTAAGGAATCTGAAGCTTGGAAAAGGTATTTAGTCAAAATCACACACCAGCCATTCAAATGCTATTTGCTCAAATTCAAACTTTGAGTTTGGATGGAATATAGTTATCATAAAGAAATATAAGGACTTATAAGACAAGCATTCAAATGATATTAAATCTTTTTTCTTTTTTGGTTAATCCTCACCCAAGGATATTTTTCCATTGATTCTGAGAGAGAGTGGAAGGGAAGGAGGGAGGGACAAAGAGAGGGAGAGAGAAAAACATCATGTGAGAGACACACCACCAACCAGTTGCCTCCTGCAGAAGCCCCAATGTGGGGGGGTGGCGAGGATAGAGCCTGCAGCCCAGGTATGTGCCCTTGACCTGGAATTGAACCCAAGACCATTTGGTGCACGGAATGATGTTCTAACCACTGAGCACACTTGGCCAGCGCAGATTCTTAATGGGAATCTACGTTTGAGGAAAACACAGGAGCTCACATAAATCTGAATCCTGACAGAGATTTTCTAAAGCCTTGCAGGTTCCAGAAAGTCCAATTCCAGGAAGATCAGGTGACTTCATGGAGGTCACACAGCTAGTTAATGTAAAGCCAGAACTAGAACCCCAGAGATTGTAAGAACAGGATGCTGAATGCATTGGAGCTTATAAAACACTTATGCATATGTCATTGTTAGATTTTTTAAGTATTTTTAACAATGTCCAATTGCACAAAGTCCCATCATACAGGCCCTTAATTAAATGTGCTCAGGTTGGGGGAGAAAAAAGCATGAGGTGGAGGCAAGAATGGGGAGACACAAGCTAACATAGCCTGAGTGCCTTCTTGGGCCCAGGTTCTGAGTATCTCACATAATCCTTATTACAATCCTACCATGATTATAAGCAGTGTCATTTCAGAGATGAGGACACTGAGTCACAGAGACGTTAAGGAGCTCTCCCACGGCCACAAAGCAGCATTCAGACGGAGAACACACATGGAAATGTGTGGTCTGTGCTTCATGGCCGGCTGAAAAGAGAGCACAAAATTAGACAACTCTTGTGTGGCAAAGTTGTTCATGTCCAAAGAGAGTACCTTTGAATTTCTTCCCAACTGTTTCATTTTTTTTCTTTTTCCTGCCAGACATTAAACCAGGAGTAACCTATGCTGAACCCTCGCCTCACCCGTCCTGCAGTGTTTCCCGACACATGTACTTGCTGACAGTCCATCACAACTAAAGAATGGGGTTCAACCTGACATTTGCAAAATTACCAGGTAAGCCGCAGGGAAAATGCAAAGGACAGTGTGCTTGACCAATAACTGTCATTCAGACTATGTGGCAATTTGGGGGGTTTGTTGGCCACCGAACCAACTAACAAAATAAGCCAGCAAGCGTTTAGCCTTGCCCTTCACTGGGTACGAAGCAGCACCCAGGCAGGATGGCGTCGCTGGGGTACACGTGACTTCACTCAACTTGCTATCACTTCACTTCAAGCTTTGTTTCATCTAGAGACCATCTGAAAGGACAGAAAGGTTAAATTAATAACATCTGGGGAATATTTTTATATTCTAAACTCAAGTACATATTACTTTGCAGAAGTAATAAGCGTAAAGCAAGGTTCACTGAGGTTCCCCAGGAGGCCAGAGGCAACATCAACCTACTCTCCTGGGTAACTATTTAGAACATGATCGTGCCAGGGCAGTGGTGCCATGGTAGTGACGCCCTATAATTTGCATGACTCTAGTATTTCATTCCCACCTGGCAGGTAGAGCAGCAGTGACATATTATTGATACTTTCACATTCTGTGCCAAGGGTGACACGCCCCAATGAGCAATAATGTAGCTTCACCAAAAGCAGAAGAACCAAACTTCTTTGCCACTTGTTCTATCACTCCCAACACAACGGCAACGCATGAGAGACTGTAATGAGTGCCTTAAGTTCGAGTGAACACCTACTGAATACTAGACACTGTGCACGACATGTTTGCAGAGCATTTAACTTTCAGAAGGTCCAGCAAAGTTAATCTTTATTCCATTTTACAGTCATGAAATGACTAAACCAGAACTGCCAGGTAGGACTTTCCGCAATGATGAAAATTCCCTTCATCCGCACCGTCTGATGCAGCAGCCACAGCGGTTACTGCTCTCTCTGCTGCAAATCCCAGGCCTTCCTCCAGCACAGTCCCCCGTACACACAAACACAGACAATCACAGCCCACACACCGCACACAACCACACCACCACTCACCCTCACACCAGCATAAAATGATAATTTACTATGGAATCAGTGCCCAGGTCATTGTTAATTTAAAAGGAGTTGGGGGAGTAAAGTAGGGGAAAGACTAATCAAGAAAATGTACCCTCAATTATCACTCTGTATCAAAGTCTACATGAAGTAATACAGGAAAACGTCCTAATAAACAAGAAGCATGTGAGAAAACAGCCTTTACACTGTAAAAACAGCTCCCAGTTTCTCCTAATTGGATCGCCAAGCTATCTGACAGTAAAAATGGCCCTAACCCAGTCACGCTCTTTATCGACAGTGAAGAACATGGTAAAACTGGCTGGGCAAAGAAAGCTACTCACTTTTCAGGTCATGGTTCCTGAGCAGGCGCAGTGCAGAGAAATGCCTCTGAGCATACCCACATGCCTGGGTGAAACGGGAGGCAGAAGGGAGAAATGGTGGTGGGATAGCTGGTAGAAAAGAACTATGACACAGACTCAGTTCTAAAAAAAAATTAATCAGACAAAACTCTTTATATGACATTTGAACTTTCCAGCACTTTCTGCTTCTTAGGAACCAGTCACCTTTTATTAGCACATTATCTCATAAAGTGACCATAACAGACTTTAATAATTTAAGCTGCCCTGTATATGGGGACTTTGCAAATGAAGTAATAACCAAGCCCAGCCAACCACACACCACACAGCAGTTCAGGACCACTGTGGAGTGAGGTCACTCATGTGGGGACAATTTTCACGTACAAGACAGAGTACAGAGAAGGATTTTTTTTAACATTCTGATTTAAGACTCTGTATCTAACAATAACCATAATTGGTCAGCTAATTATCACTTAATATGAGTGCTGTATATACAATCACAACTTTGAGCTGCTATAATGACATACTCAACATGCACACAGTGCCTGACCAACCACATTCCACACGGGACATGCAGAGTGAGTGGGTCCAGCACGCAAACCCTAGGGCTGAACTGGTCCATGCCTAGTGGGCTACAGCTAGCGCACTGTCCGATTTGGATTTACAAGGGCTCTGAAAACCACTCGTCAGTGCCTGTTTCAAGCACAGCCACCATTTCAGGAGATGATGTAGCTGCCCCTTTCAGCCTGTGTCCCTCAGCTGGACCACATATCCTCTCTCTACTTTCCTCAGGGATCTAGTCTTAGATGAAAGTGACTGCTAGCCATTTAATTGGGGAAAGTAATTCAAGCAAGTATCTTAACCCAGGAAAAACTGCACATCTTATGGAGCTTCTAAGACATGGATGCTGATGTGGACCTGGCAGTGCCCAAGCCACCAAGACTGCAACCCTTCATTGTGTGAGACGGGCTTGCACAGTGGGCTCGAGGCAGTATCTGAAACTGGCAACAGGAACCCAGGTGGCAGCTGAATCAGGCATTTAAACTCGTAAAGCTTAATAACACTATGGGTATCGTCATCACAGGCTAGTCCAGGTATAAATTACAAGCCTGTGTAAAGATATTTCAGCCAGGAAAACCAGTTTTTACAAACACTTGTAGCAGGGGATAAAATGGAATGAATTAGAAAGAGGACAAGAATACTCAGGAAAAGACTATACTTAAATTTCAGGCAGCAACTTAAGAACCTGTTTTTGGATTATAGTCATCAGACCTTCCCTGTTTCACTTCTTCAAAAAAGGAAACCAACAACATGTACACTACAGTGCCTGTCATGTGGGGAAATGAGGGCCACATTCATGCTGTTACCTCTAAAACAAAACCACTCCAAAACACAACTGGTAAACATGAATTAGTGACAAGTAAAAACTCAGAAATGGCCTTCCTTGTAACCTTACATCTAAAAAGTACATTTTAAAATTGTGTCAGTTCAGGTTTTCAAAAAGAGCAGATGACACAATGTGATCAAGTGGCCAAGAGCCTTACTGGGGGCAGTGCCGCGGGGATCACAGGCTGTGTGCAAGTCTGCCCCGGGGAGTAGCGGGAGCAGTGGGGAGCGGGGTGG